ATTGTTATAGTGCAATATTTCAATTTTGGTATTGAAAACACTATGAGATACTACCTCCGTCCCACTGTTTTTGTCCACTTTTAACTTTTGGAATTCTTCATCTAAGCACTTTGACTCATCAAATTCTCTCAATGTGTAAGCTTAAATATAGTCATGTGTGATCTTGTTTGATTTGTCTTAACATATAGATTATTAATATATAATTTCTATAATTTTTTAATATACAAATTACAAGATAAAATGGATTAAAGAAATGCATTGAATGGTGTGTCAAAAGGTAAGTGGACAAAGACAATGGGACGGAGGAAGTATAAGTATACAAAATCACATGGTCATATTGAATAATAGTCTTTGTTTTGAATAAAAAGTAAAAAAAACACAAGTGTCTTATTTTAAGAATAAAGACACCTTTTTATTTTTATTTTAAATGATTTCTTTGAAATGTGAGGAAGAGGAGAGAGAATCTAATTATACCTGGAGTATAGAGTTTTTGGCATAACTTGAATCTCCAATACCTTCATTCATACGTAGCACTTCGCACACTCTCATCTTTCAGACTTTATTGATCTTAATTGGCTTTCAATTAATTAGGTCTCCTTCTTCCTTCTTTTATACTCCCTCCGTTCTCAAAAACACTTCCTCTTTCATTTTTTTCACTTCCAACAAAACACTTCCCTTTTCTATTAAAAACCACTTTTACCCTTACTTTTTCATACCCTACCTATCACATCATACTTTTTCTCTAATAATCTATCCATCACATCTTACTTTTACCCATCACATCAGGGGCAAAATTGGAAATCAACTACTCCGTATAATTTAACACTTCCTTATTTTTTCCCCAAATCAAAATGGGAAGGGTTTTTCCAAACGGAAGGAGTATATAGTAGATGGATAAGAGAAGTTATTGTACCTCAGAGATGAAGATGTCTACTGGTTCCTTATTTAATTTTTTGGTTAATGTATGGCCTGCCCATCATGAAGAATTGGGGACTTGGGGTGGGTGGGGAGGACACATCTAACCTACCATGGAAAAAGTTAGGGTATATCATGTTCGGCCCGGTTCCATGGCCACTAGAATCCAGTGGCTACGGAAACCACTGTCCCCTTACAAAACTCCGTTCATAAAATTGATGATTCCTACCCCCCTAACCCCCCCGGTAAACCCCCCCGCCAAGTCCCGACCCAAACTCATCACCCCACCTTCGTCAATTGCACCTCGTAAGCATAATTCACTTTAAAGTCAAAAGTTTTGACTTTATGCTTACGAGGTGCAATTGACGTAGGTGGGGTGATGAGTTTGGGTCGGGACTTGGCAGGGGGGTTTACCGGGGGTAGGAATCATCAATTTTATGAACGGAGTTTCGTAAGGGGGCAGTGGCTTCCGTGGCCACTGGATTCCAGTGGCCATGGAACCGGGCCGTATCATGTTTGTATATATCACAAATACACACACATAAGAATGGTATGTGAATCTCACAGACAATTATTTAGACAATTATTATCTGTATGTGTCCGTAATATACTTTTGTGTAAGTTGGAATACAAATTTGGTGTACCCCAAACACATTTCAACCTACCATTTTAAAAGAGTCAAATTCCTAGTTGTATTGTTTACACTATACATTATCATGTTTACGTTGGAACAAAAACATGGACAACCAAAGCACATACAATAGTTCATTTGTCAGTGATGGTATTTTCTCTATGGAACCATCATAGTCCAACCTGCCTATAGTATGAAAATCATTGGGTATGAAATGTTAATCAATTCAATCATCATGTGACTGATAAATCAAAGGTAACCAGGTTTTGAAGTTTCCACCTCGTGTTTCTACCTCACATAGGTGTGTGTGTATGTACATTACACCCCCACATAAACGTTTGAATTGTCATTTTGTTTTTTTAAAGGGAAGTGAAAAAAACAAAAAAAAAAACTTAATATAACCCTTTGGTCTATATATTTTGCTTGAGTTTCAGGAAGTTTCTTCCGCTTTTGTTTTGTAAACACAAAAGCTATTAAAAAGTATAGACTTGTTAACTTATATAAAAGGTAATCGGTTAAGACTAATGTTATAGGATGATCGACCCAAACGTTGTTTCTACAATGCTCTATTTGAAAAATTAATAGTTTTACGCCATGCACATGGAGGGGGGGGTTGGTTGGAAGGAGAGGGGGGTAGGTGGTAGAAACTATTAATTTTTGGAAGTTTCACCGTAAGAGGCTCGAATATAGCTATGACACTCAAAGTGAATGTCACATGAAAAATATATACTCCCACCGTTCCCTTAAATCCTTCCCGTTTTGATTTTTGGCCAAAATAAGGAAGGGTTAAATTGGGGAAGACTTGTTTGAATTCTGATCTGAAGAGATGATAATGGTATTGTAGTTGATTGTTGAATAGAGATGATATTTTTTTAATTTAAACCATAAAATTGTTAATTTTCTTTATGTGGGCTAATAGCTATTAAAGAGTTGAGTTAACTTTAAATTAATTTGGTGATTGTTTTTTAGAGAACCATAGCATTGAATGTCGATGTGTACCTATTTTTGTCTTAGTGTACGCTTGGGGTACACCAAGTGAGGTCCTGCTAGCAATCACAATAAAAAAACTTTAAAATAAGTACTTGTGCTTCATGTGTGGGTTATTCGTTTTTCTCTTGTTTCTATGCGAATGATACTCCCCCGCCCAAAAATAATCTAAAAGGTCAAATTTTATAGACTTTGTTGGCCTATTTTGTTACCTATTTAATAAAATAATATAGTCATATCACCTTTAATTAGTTTTGTAGATCTTTTGATATAGTTTTTTAATATGTAATTTTTATTTTTTAATTTTCAACCATTTTTCATATAAAATAATTTACAAATAGCTTCAGTCAAACATCGATCAATTTGATTTTTCTTTTTTTTAATAGTTTTATTTCATTAATGAAATAGCAGGTGCAATTTGTTTTTCGCAAAGATAATTTTTGGACGGAGGAAGTATATATACCACTCATATGTTAGCATTGTATCTCATTCTTCAGTGTTTGAGAGATTGGGTTCCTTTTCCCCTAAATTTCTTGTATGTTTTAATTTAATTTAATGCTATTCTTTAATTTAAAAAATAAGAGAAAAACATATTTTAAATCGTTAAAACACTCTATTTGTGTATATAAAATCCCTAAAATCTCAAGCCATGCATATACCTAGAAATTGTAAAAAATGACTCGACATGTTTTCAACCTTAGATTTGACCTGAAAATATTGAGTTTTAAATAAAGGTTTTGTTGACCAAACCCGAAACGATCAGCTAAAAATGGGTCAAATGACTCAAATCCGACTGAATCCAAATTCGACCCGACCAATCTGCTAGTATAAGAATTTTTCAAAATCATATACTTTAATATGAAATATAATGTTATAAAATAAGATTATAATTATATATTTTTTCTTACTATTTGTTTTTAATGTATAAATTTATAGTATTTCATGCAAAATTTTAATGATATCGCATAATTATCTTGTTGTTTTTTAAATTTCTGCATATTTAGTTTTTTATTCGTAATATTGACTACACAGTCACTAGATCATAAAAATTATAAAAAAAAATAAATAAAAGTCATAATCCTTTGAGTAGACTTGAACACGATAATATTGGTTCATGAACATAGAATTTTTAACTCAAATCTAAATCGGACTTGAACGACCGATATAACAGCTCTACATGGTACATATATATACCCATCTAGTAGAAATAGAAGGGCGCCAAACACCAAATCTGTGTATAAATATACATATACTCCATAACTGATAGTGATGGGACCCCAACCAAAACCCGCCAATTGAAATCCGCCCATACATACATAAACAGAAGAAAAAAGACTGAGGCCTACTTGGAATTCAAATTATAGAATTGGAATTTAGGACTTTAATTCCAATTCTGGTGTTTGGTAGCACAAAAAATCATGTAGATTTGAAATTGATAGTGCAAAAAATGATTTGTGAATGAGCAATTTCAATTATATGGAATTGAATCTCATAGAATTTCAATTCCAATTCAATTTTAATTCCATCAATTCCGTATATCAAACGGACCCTAAGGCTCCGTTTGGTATAAGGAATTGGTGGAATTGGAATTGTAATTCCATGGGATTCAATTCCATAGAATTGAATTCTGTCAATTTCAATTCATTTTTTGCACTATCAATTCCAAATCTACATAATATTTGTGCTACCAAACATTAGAATTGGAATTGAAGTCCCCAATTCCAATTCCATAGTTTGAATTCCATGTACCAAACGGGGCCTAAAGAACATTGAAAATATATCAAAATAGGACTTCCATGTTTTTATTCCCGAAATAGAAGTTAAAATGCATTTACATTACCAAACATGGTTATGTACATTGCCAAAAAGTATAGTAATGTGCACATGTTGTGAAGTCCTATTTCAAGAATTAAAACACGGAACTCTTATTTTGGTATCTTTTTTTATGTTTTAGTCCTATTTAGGGTGAATTCTATAAGCAGAAATACTCCCTCGTCCCTCCGTCCCGAAATATTTATCCACTTTTAACTTTTTTCGATTAAAATTGGTAAATTTTGACCCTAAATTAAATAAAAATGATATTAGATATTGATACAAAAATAATTTTATTAGATTTATTATATAATATTTTTTCAAAATATTTTTATATTTAATTAATATATAATATATATTTTATTTAATTATAAGTCAAAGATTGAAAACGTTTGAGTGAAAACAATATATATATATATATATATATATATATATATATATATATATATATATATATATATATATATATATATATATATATATATATATATATATATATATATATATATATATATATATATATATATATATATATATATATATATATATATATATATATATATATAAAAACATGTGGATAGCAGTCTGTCACTGCCACCACCCTTGGCCAAATGCCAACTATATAGAGGGGGAGATGAGGCCCATTAATTGAATTGAAAGCCATAAGCAATAATATAGTGACCAGAAAGATGAGAGTTTGTGAAGTGCTACGTATGAATGGAGGGATTGGAGATTCAAGTTATTCCAAAAACTCTATAATCCCGGTACGTGTATATACATACATACATACATATATATATATATATATATATATATATATATATATATATATATATATATATATATATATATATAATTATAACCTAGAAAAGCTAGCTAAGTTTTGGCACAAAAAAGTACGGAGTATTTATATTATTAGAAAATTTATTTTTTTAAGTAGCTTACTACTACCTTCGTCCCAATTTATTTGTTCAGTTTGACTTTTTCGAGTCAAACTAGACAAATTTTGAACTCTAATTCCTCTCAATTTATATTGCATTATAGCATAATGAAATACAATTTTGAAAGTTCTCAATACGATAAATCCAATAAACTCATTTTTATCTTAAAATACATTACGGTTTTTATTTAATTTAAGCTCATGTTTGTCCAGTTTGACTCGAAAAAGTCAAACTGGACAAATACACTGGGACGGAGGGAGTACATCTTTAATTGTTTTTCGAAAATACTCCCCGCGTTTTAAATAATTTTAAGTATTACCAGGTCCCCATATTTTCTAACATGTGCGTTTAGGCCAAGTCTCTAGAGAATATCGTACACACATTAGAATTTGTTCTCTTCAACTACTTATTCTTATTATTTGTTACCTTTTCTGTTGGATTTAGATCAGATCAAATCTGATCAGAATTTATTTCAATCAGACCAAGTGCAGAAAACAAGCCTTTACTAATGGGAAAATTTAATTTATGACATAACGTCAAACAAGCCTTTCGAAGGAGTAAACTTAACTAAAATTAAAATGGTATTCTCTTCACTCGAGGTCGAATTGGATCTGATCGAAGTTTTTTATATTTCGGATTAGATTTGATACGATTGAATCTAAACTGATCTAAATAGATCTGATCTGATTTAATTTAATTCGAACTATTAATTTTTATTTGTATACTTGCCATAATTACTATTATAATTGTTGTTGTTGTTATTAATACTAATACTATTACTACTATAACTATAATAATAATAATAATAATAATAATAATAATAATAATAATAATAGTGAGATCTGACCTGAATAAATCTAATCTAATTTGATTTTAATAAAATAAGAAATAAGTAGAGATTGTTCTTTTGGACCGAAAAAAGTTAACTTCCAACTTTTTAAAACTTCTTCAAGTTTCTTCTAACGTCTTAAAAAAAGTATTTATATATGATACATATACAATAACATTATGGATTCAACTTTGTAACATACCACCTTAAACATGGACAGGGATAAACTTTTTATTCAAAATTAGAATTTTCTTATATATTTATTTCTAGAGGTGTAAATGAATGTTAATCGGATCGGATGTGTCATTGTCAGACCTGTATCTGTTTATTTTTATCGGATATCAAATTTGGACATGGATCTTGACGGATGCTAAAAATTAAAATAGTATCCGTATCCGTTGGATATCGGTCAAATATCGGATATATCAATATCCATTTCCGAATTTTCAGAGTCAAATTTAACTATATACTCGGGAGTATATAAATAGTTTTAGTATATTTATTTAATTATAATTTGTTATAGAGAAATGTTTTTTGGTAATATATACTATTACAAAAATTCTATTAAGATATAAAGAAGTTTTATACTTTGAGATATTAATCAAAAAATAAAATAAAAAAAATTGGGAAAAATCATGTATAACGGATTGGATACATGGATAAAAAGTTACTCAAACGGATGTATATGCGGAGTGGATTATGAATGGATCAAATGTATGATTACCAAATACGTATCCATTATCAACCAAATATTCTTAATCGGATAACGGATTGTAACCGCTTTACGCGGATATGCATATTTTAATTTTTGTGTAAACGGATACGAATGCAAATAGTAATCAAATTATTGGTTATCCATTTACTACTCTATTTATTTGAGTAATCATTTAATTGAATGACTTTTAGAACTTTAATTTTTTCAACATTTTCCAATTCTTTTCAAATTTTTTCTAACTTCTTCTAGTTTTTTTCTAACACCTTTCCCGACCCGAATCACATAGGCTTAAAGCTATACCCATATCCATCAATCTAAGTGGGCTAGGCCACCCACCTAGCTTTTGGGTCCAAGAATGACATCATAAAAATGAAGTCACGTTGGTAACAATTTTACAACGAAAAAGAGGAATTAACAAAAATAATCTAACACAACCAAAAATAAGAAAATATACAAAAAAAAAAGTTAGTTATAATAGTATCTTCCATTTAAGGACACATTACGTATGTTCAAATGTGAAGCGCAAAAATAATGGTTTATAATTGGGGAGATGCTACGAGTACACCAAAAGTGTACTCCAAATGTACACCACTTGTCTCTACACCATTCGTTTTATTTTGTTTTTATTTTTTATTTTTTTTTTTGAATTTTACATGCCTTTTTTTTGTAGTTATGGAAGGGGTGAAGGATATTTGGGGTACATTTTTGGTGTACCCCTACCATTTTTCTTATACTCCCTCCGTCCCGTTTTAAATCACCTGTTTTGACTTTTGGACATATTTAAGGAAAAGAAAAAATAGAATTGATTTTTCGAAATTGTCAGTACTTTTTAGAAGGGATGACGATGAATGAGAAGATAATGTGGAGAAGAGTGACTTATTTTAGAGGTCGAAAACAACTAATAGGCAACTTATTTTGGGATGGAGAAAAAAGACAAACAGACAATTTAAAATGGGACGGAGGTAGTAATTGACACCACATTATGAACAATATTAATACTTCCTCCGTCCCACAAAAAAGTTCCCATTTTGAATAGTATTTAGTCAAATATTTACACGCTTTGACTACAAATTGTGAGAAAGGTATATTGAATTATAAAATAAATTTACTATAATTGGATTCATCTTATGATCTAGTTTTGATATCTCAAATTTTTTAGCATTTCTTTATTTAGATTATATTTAATTTATGGTCAAAGTGCGTAACTGTTTGACCAATTTATAGTCAAAATGGGAACTTTTTGTGGAACGGAGAGAGTATATTTTTAAAAATAAGCAGGCCTGCCAATCATAATGGGCCAATATTAATTATGATACTCACCCTTATAAAAGCCTGACCCAGCCCGACACACCCATATAAGTAATAATTGTTGCCCATGTTTGCCCATATATGAGTGCGGTTTGGACGGCCGTACAAGCCGACCTTTATTTGCATAGGTCTAACCATAAGATAGACTTAAGGTTGAGTAGATTTCTTTCGTATGATACTGTTGATCACAAGTCACGGATTTGAAATTGGGGAATCTTTCTAAATAGTATTAAAATATAGTAACTTTCCCATCGTAGTACCATATGTTTGTATTTTCGAATGTAGTACTACTGGTCATTACTCAAGTAAATGTCTGTCTTCACTGGAAATTATTCAAATTAAGTTTCCACCATCACTAGACATCGTTTCTGCCAGTGACATTTTTCAAGTACTATATAGGAAATAAAAAAATTTAAGTACTACATTGAGAAATAACATATCTTTTAGTACCATTTAGTGCAAATTTCACTTTGAAATTTATAATCGAGTTAATTCTTTGACATTTATCTTTAACTAACTCACGATACAACCACTCTTTGATATATAGAAAAAGGCGTTGAGTTTGACGATGCCAATAATAGAGAAAGTCGTGACAACTATGTACACCAAACTCAGGCCACGCACGGTCTCCATCGCCGACCTCGGCTGCTCTTCTGGGACAAATGCTTTTGGGGCAGTCTCCGGGATCATGAAAGTCATAGACTGTGTCCGAAAGAAGCTCCGGCTTCAATCGCCGGAATATAACATATACCTGAACGACCTTCCCGGCAACGACTTCAACGCCATATTTGGATCCTGGCCTCAGCATTTACAAGACTTGAAGAAAGAGATGGGAGAAGGGCTTGATGGGGAATGTTTCTGCAATGGAGTTCCTGGATCCTTTTATGAGAGGCTGTTTCCTACCAATTCTCTCCATTTCGTTCATTCTTCTTATAGTCTCATGTGGTTATCTCAGGTACATTATCATTTCTATACTCCATTTCAATTTCCACATTATTATTGACACATACGTACAATAAAGAGATTATGTGGGTGTTGTTTTGTACTTATAAGAGCAACTCCAAAGGATCCTTCATCTTCTAAAAGTCAACTTGGAAAAATCTATGGCGAATGAAGTGAGTAGTACTCGTATACTCCCTCCGTCCCATAAAGTGTTACCCATTTTGACTAAAGTAGAAATTAAGGGAGGGATAATTTTATGTTGACTTTCTAAAAATACCATTGATGTGATGGGTAAAAGTAGGAAAAATGTATGATGTGATAGGTAGGGTTTGAAAAAGTAAAGGATAAAAGTGGTTTTTTAATAAAAATGGGTAAGGAATTGTGGGACACAATTTTTTTGAAACGTGTAAATCTTTTTGGGACGGAGGGAGTATATATACTTCCTTTGTGTTTCACTTTTTTATTATCAAATTACGCAATACTTTAACCATAAATTAAATATAATTTTAACAAAAAAATGTTATAAAAAATTTATTCTTTGTATTACGTATATCAAAATACCAAAAATTTAGAAGTGATTGAAAAGGTAGGTGATGGGTGTATTTACACCCTGACCCGGGTATGGTCTACCAGAAGCCTACCTGGGTGGATTTCTTGATTGGCATGATAAGTAAAGAAGACAAAAGAAGTTGACCTGGTCAAAGTATCATGGAGCCTACTCGGGTGTGATTTTTATGACCAAGTGAACCTGGCACGATTCGACAAATGACCGCCCAGGGCTTCTTGAAGTTTGTCCAGGTGAGACTTAATCAAATAGAGGTGACCTAGCTAGTGATGGGTGGTATACACCCAGTTTAACCGAGTAACTTTGGACCAAAACCTAGAGAGATGGATTCCAACCTTGTACGACACAAACAAGCCTAGCACAATAACCCGATCGTATTTACCCGGAGTATACCCGGTTGATCTATGGGTGACCGGTCAAACAGCTAGCATAGCACTGCTGAAAGGATCCTCGGGTGATCAAGACGTCCATTCAAGAAACCACCCGAGTGAATTTCCAGGACTTGGTGTACTAACATGATAATGACCCAACATGATTGAACGGAGATGAGACCAATCAAGAAAGGCCTAAATAATGCGCACCAGGACAGTTTGGGTGAATCTGTCCACGGGCAGACTTCCGCAACTTGTGGGCAACTAGTTGAGTGGCATGACACAATTAGATCATCGAACGCTTACGACGTCCCTCTGAGAAACCGCTCGGACAAACTTCCGGGACTTTCACTGGCGTGCGTGATGACAACTCAGCGCGGTTAGACGATAGTGACTTGGAAGCGAACTGGTTAGAATGGATTCCTCTGCGTCAACGGGTTTATCCAAGTATTCCCACTCAACCACTACGCGCCTGAGGGGAAAGTCACACAGGAAAGCATCTAGGAAGAATGGACAAAAGCTACAAGACAAAGAAGCATCAAGTCATGTATAGTACTTTGTCACGTGGCAAGCACGTGCCACCTTGTCCCCTAGCTTTGCTATAAATAGGCTTGTAGACTTCAGTGGAAGGGGGGCTAATTTCCTCTCTCTAGAAGTGTATTGTGCAATATCTTTCTTTAACATTCTCATACTTTAATAATAATTGGACCACATGCGCTCCCATCTACAGTCCTCCCGTCCAGTGTCAAGCTTTAATTTAGCTAGTGTTCTTAGTATCACAACTCAACAAACCATCCTAGGCCTGGTTTGGAGTAGTTTACTCGGATAGTTAATTTACACGATAAGTAGGTGTGAATAAGTTGAAATATGAAAATGGATGTAAAAGTAATTGAAAAGGTAAGAGAGAGTATGTAAAAGTGATTTAAAAGTAAGAAAGAAAGTGTAAAAGAAATTGAAAAGTTAGAAAAAGTAATTAAAAATAAACTAGTTATGTCAAATTTGTTGGACTTATTTGGTTTATAACGGGACAATTTCAGACATAAATTCGGTGGTATCCATAATTTAAACTTATTTTTCCAAAATAATTATAGACAATTAATCTCCAAAGTGAGATGAGTATTTTGATATCTTGTGTGCAAAATATTAATTCTCGGTTGAATGAAAAATTATTTTACAAAGTCAAACACTTGGAAGGAGTAAGAGGGTACAAAAATCTGTGTGTCCCACATCGAAATCAAGATATTTCATCTTCCACTATTTATATGCTAGCATTGAATTGTGTTCTAGAGCAATTTGAGAAGGAAGAAATAAAGGGCTCATCGCGCACTGCCACCGTCCGTCCGACTCGGCTTGACACCACTTTGTAACGAGGGCGTGTGCCAACTCCTATCTTTTTATGAGACTGAATCGAATGCGGTGCGTTTTGACGAGTGCATGGGCCAACTCCTATCTATTTCAGAAAGAGACGATTTCTTTCTCATCTTTTTCATCATACATTTTGGTACAAATTAATATTTTTGATATTATTTATCGTACGTATTATATCCCACCTTATCCAATGGTGAAATTAGAAAATAATATAAAAATTATACATTTTTAGGGTACAGCTTTTTTTGTCTTTGGAAAATTGTATGAGACATAAGGAGTAGTAGTCTTGCATCCATGATTGTCCAGACATCATATCTTCATATTTTCGAGTTTATAAATTACTATTTCTTTATCTATTAAATCTTAAACTCAATGTGTTATTAGTAAAGAGCTAATAATTCTTAATTGGATCCTATTTATTGCCACGTTGCGATTAGGTACCAAGAGGAGCGGAGGAGAATAAAAGGAACATTTACTTGGCACCAAACACTCCGCCATGTGTGGTTAAAGCATACTATGAGCAATTTGAAAGAGATTTTGAGACATTTTTAAAGTGTAGGGCTAAGGAGTTAGTGACTGGAGGGGCTATGGTTTTAACGATTTTAGGCAGGAAAAGTGAAGACCCATGCAGCAGAGAAGGTTGTCATATTTGGGAACTCTTGGGATTGGCCCTCAGTGATCTAGTTGAACAGGTATTTTTGAAATGAGGTGTTTCTTCCTTATAGTTTTTAATAGTTTATTGCTGAGAAGTAGTCCATCTGTCCATAAATAAAGTTTTCGTTCTATGTTACGATGGTTGATTGAAGTTTAAAAAAATGAAAACTACATATTTAAAAAACTAGATAAGAAGATCTACAAAACTAGATGTGACATGACTATATTATTTTATCAAATAAGAAATGAAAATAGGCCAACAAAGTGAATAAAGTTTGACCCTATGAACAGTGTGTGGAAACTTTATTGTTGGACAGATAAGTTGTTTTTAAATTAAATGTTCTTTCGTAGAAGCAAAATGTCTTAAATGAGAGATATGTCATTTGGGAATATCCATAAAAGGTGGAGATCATTTTATATTTAATTTGGTCAAAACGGAGAAACGAAAAAAATTAATTAAAAATAAGAAGGTTAGTCCTACTTATTTTTTGACTTATAAGCGCTTATTTGCACATTGAAATATGTCATAATTAACTTAGAATTTAGAAACAATTTATAAACACTTTTGACCAGCTTATAAGCACACACAGAAACACCCACAAAACTAAACTTTAGATATCATTTCTTAGCTACTAGGCCAGCCTAGCCCAACAGGTTGGGCCCACTCTCTATGTTATGGCTGAAAGGGCTCATTGTTAAGTCCTAGCGGGTGCGCACAAATAATTATTACATTGAACAAAACTCTCATATGTCGCTGCTGGAATTCGATCTTGAGATCTCGAGCTTGACATTCTCACTAAGCATCTAATCACCCATGCGGCACAATTCAATAAAAATTAAAGAATAGGCATGAAATCTTAAAATGAAATTGCAAAAAGAACACATCTATTTTTTAAACATATATGTAAGATACGCATCATAAAATTAGCTTATGCACATTTACAAATGAAAGAACTCCCTAAAAGGAATTAAAAAATAATGGAAATATTAAAATATGAGCATAATTCTTTTTGTGACCTGAATAAGAATTAGCTTTGCCACTGCCACATTGCAAACTATCACGCTCCACTGTCACTGGAGCTCCGCCACTTGTGTTGACCATTGTTGACCAGTGGTCCACCACCACACATCAGCAACACACTGCCACCATTCGAACTGCAACCATTTACACTGACAAATTCCTATTATAGGATAAATAATAGAAAATTATTCTAGGATACCTTTAATTTTTTAATAATAACTCCCAAGTCTCACATTACCTGAAATACCCTAGAGTACTCTCAATTTTCTAGTAAAAACTTTTAATTTCTACATTATATAAAATATACTCCGGGATTCTTAAAGTTTGTGATTTTATACTCCGAGGGTACAATATGTTCATTTAGAAGTTAGGATTGAAAGTTCTTTTATTTTGACAAATAGTTCTTTTACTTTGACAAACTAAAGGATTTTTTAGATCCGGTAAAACAATGACGATCCAGGTAACATTACCACTAATTTTAAGGATCCCCGATATATATTTTGGATAGTGTGGAACTTAAGAGTTCTTACTAGAAGATCGACGGTACCCCAAAATATATTTCAGATAACATGAGACCTATGAGTTATTACTAGAAAATCGGGGGTACCTCAGTGTAATTATATATATATATATATATATATATATATATATATATATATATATATATATATATATATATATATATATTAGTGACAACAAATCATTGCAGGGATTGATAAAAGAAAACAAATTAAATTCATTCAACATTCCTTTTTACACACCATCTCCGTTGGAAGTGAAGTACATCGTTGAAAATGAAGGGTCCTTTTCTATCAACTCTTTGGAAGTTACAAATGTTCATTGGGATCCTTCTCAATTTTTGGCCGAAAATGGATGCAAAGAAGAAGGATACAATGTTGCCAAGTGTATGAGAGCAGTGTCAGAACCATTGCTTCTTGCTCATTTCGGTGAAGATATTATTGAAAAAATCATGCATCAGTACCGAAAGAATATTGTGGAATCTTTGTCTAAAGGAAATATTCGTTTTTTCAATGTTGTTATCTCGGTCACAAAAATATGTAAATCATGAAAAACATTATGTGTAATAATTTACATGGCCAAAAACTAAGTATTGGTTTTAATCTAATAATATCATCACCAATTCCATGCTTTTAAGCTCTGTTCTTTTCAAATCTCACTCTTAACTTCTAATAGTTTTCAATTATTTCCCGCTTGTTCTAACTACTTCCAAGTTTTTTCAATTCCTTGCATTTTCTCATACTCCTTTAAGTTTTTTCCTATTCCTAATTTCTTCGAGCCCGCTCCAATTTTTTTAATTCTTTGTAGTTTCTTTCATTTTTTTCTGACAATGGTATAAAGAATTATTTATATATATTCATATTATTATTATTTATATTATTATCTTAATAAAATAAAAAATGATTTAATGTCATAATTTATTTAAAAATATTTTAGTTACCATTATAGAGTCGATCGACATAATGTATTAAAATCTTAAATTATTAATTTATAATTTTATTTTTGATTTTGAAAATTTCAATTATGTTTCATTGAAATATTTTATTCATCCGTCCTAAAATAATTTACTCCGTACTTCTATACTATTTCAATGTCTTGATAATATTTTTTTGCTCGCATGTTTTCATTAATCATTTGATAAAATAAAGGAAAAATTGATATAAATACTCCAGAAATTTGAAATTTTACAATAATACTCCCAAATTTAATAAAAGACTCTCTTGCTCCCAATTAAACTATAAGTTTACATTGCTACTCATACTATTCCTAATCAGCTTTTCTTATGCTTACATGTAAGTAATTATACTTAGTTGACATCTTAGTTGTTCTTTTTGTTTTAATAGGATAAAAAATTGTATAAATACTCTCTGAAATTCAAAATTCTACAATAATCTCTCAAAACCAAATAAAGATTCCAGTATTCTAAAAAATATCTTTCTTTTACGTGTTATGATGTTTAATAAAAGTGGTGTGAAATCAAAAAATAAAATTATATACCTAAAAACTACATTATAAGATCTATAAAACTAGTAATGATATAATTATATTATTTTATCAAATACATAATTAACATTGATAAGCAAAGTAAATAAAATTTGATCTTGTTAATATTCTTGATAGTGAATGAGAAGATAATTTTTGGACAGAGGGATATTTTTTATTAAAATATTAAAAACTACTTAAGATGCCAATTAAGCTCAATTAATTAATCTTTAATATTACTAAAAAAATTATTTTTACATATTACTATATTAGTTTTTAATATGTAATTTTTATTTTTTAATTTTACACCACTTTTCATATAAAATACTTTAAAAATAATTTCAGTCAAATATAGTAACGTGCAACGAGAATATACTTTTAGGAGATTTGGAGTCTTTATTTGATTTTGAGAGAATTATTGTAAAATTTTGAATTTCTATGAGTATTTATATAATTTTTTTCTCTTATTAAAACAAAAAACAACTAAGATGTTAACTAAGCATAATTACTTACATGTAAGCATAAAAAAGCTGATTAAAGATAGTGGGAGTAGTAATGTAAACTTATAGTTTAATTGGGAGCACCAGAGTCTTTTATTGAATTTGGGAGTATTATTGTGAAATTTCAAATTTCTGAGAGTATTTATATCAATTTTTCCTAAAATGAAATATTCATGTTACTAATAATACTCCTCGATTGCTAGACTTAAAGAAATTTGTCTTCCTCATACGAGCATGGGTAAATTTATACATCAAAGGTGTGTCTGTCATGTTTTTAATTTATGCGTTTTGCAGGGATTAGAAGCTATGGGGGGAGGGTAGTTTTGACCAATATTAGAGGTGGGTTAAAAAATACTTGGGGTAGTCGTGTTAATGCAAAAGCGTGGAAGTTGTATTGTAAATCTAGGAAAAGAAAACCAATAACATTTGCTAAAGATATCACCATTACATTGAATAGTACATATAAGTTGACTGCATAGATTCTAAGCTACAAAGACGAACTTGCTGCATTTCTAAGAAATGAACTTAATTATATGATTCAATTGAATGAAATTATTATTGTTGAAAAACTGAATGCCGTATTAAAAGTTTTTAATAACTCAACTCTTACTTTCTCGCATGTTTACCAACCTACTACAAACAGATTTTTTAAAGAGTGTGTTACAATTGCAATATATTTTCGTGAAAGCTTATCTGATCCACAGTTGTACCCCTATGTCACTCCTATGAGAGATAAATGGCGTTCTTATTATTTGTATTTTCTAATACTTATAAAATTTGTATTATTTGTGATCCTTGCTTTAAAATTAAAAAATTTTCAAATTCTGATTGATTATTACTACGCTTGTTTTTTAGATGAAAATAATTATTACTACAATCATTTAATAGAATGGACAAAAGAAAGAGATAATGTGATTGATCTTTTTGAGGCTTTATTTAAAGAATTTCAAGCAATTTACGGCAATGCATCGGATGAAATGAAACAACACCTCTTCCACCTCCCATAGTAAAAAATTTTTTTAAAGGGATAGTCGGTGGCCTTTTGGCAAAAAAGGTAAGCGTGGTCACGCTTCGATGAGTTCAGGTTGTACTACTGTAGCGTGTCCGTGTCCACCCATAGACTAAACAATACTCCCTGTCCTAAAATTAGTTTTCCGGTTTAACTTTTGCAGTCAAATTTTATAAACTTTGACCGTAGATTAAGGAAAAAATACATTGAATTTTCATATAAATTTATTAGGAATAGATTCATTTTGGAATATAGTCTTGAAATATATAATTTTTATAAAATATATTTATATTTAAAAATTGAGATATTGATTGTCAAAGTGTTGCATTGAAGACTGTAAAAAGTCAAATGAGAAATTAATTTTAGGACGGAGGGAGTTCAAAAAAACCAACCAAAACTGCAGCAACTACATTAAAGCTACCTTTTTGTAGATCAAACAAAAAGAACTATCCTAGTGAAACCTCTTTTTTAATCTCCTCTTGGTGTAGCTTGCCATTTCTAGCCCTTCAAATGCTACAAGAGACCCGAGTGAAACTACATTATATTCTTGCCATTCCTCCATATCAAATTTGTTTTTGTTCTTATTGAAATTTGGATTTAGAATCTCTTGTTTTGAGTTCGAAAGATTTAACTCCCAACGTTTCCTTCCGGTTGCTTCCAATAACGATTTAAAAAAAATGTATTTATAAGGAATTATAACAAAATGGAGGATTACTCCGTATTATGGAGGATTTAAAAAAGGAATTTAATTAAAACAAAATGGAGTAAGCTTTCCGTACAAATACTGCCATTGTTAAGTGATATGACTTATCATCCAGGAAGTTACATAGCACTATATATAGCAGTTGATATGACTTATATCACCTTTCAACAGTTTGGTGATTTCACTTATTTAATCAATCCGAAATTTTGTTTATTACTCCATACTCCGTAAGAAACAAGTAACAACCTTTTTTTATGAAACGTATCTCCTAAGAAAAAAAGAAACTATAATCTCCAGACAATTGATTGAAAGTTGGATTAGACCATGTTCTCCTCAATTTATTTTTCTACTTATTGTTTATGCTTATTAGAATCAGATCACTTAAAATCCATTAATTCAAATTACACCAGATCAATTTAGTTAAGATCAGATCATCTAAGATCTTATCAAATCAGATCATATCAACAACTTGAAATTATACTACATTTAGATTTCATAAAATCACATCCATTCAAATCAGATCGGTGCTTGGAAAGAAAGATTTTTTATTACTAATCTTTGTAGGAAATCTGAGAGGAGCGAAAATGCTGCGTATTAGTATTAGATAATGAATGGATTACAAACAAGAGGAATTTACCTAAATAGCACTAAAACATAATGACTTTCCCTAAATAGCACTACATATGTTTTTCTTTCCTAATGTAGCACTTTTAGTCATTATGCATTAGTCATTATTCAAGCAAAATTTTGCCATCACTGGACATTATGGACATTATAAGTGCTATTTAGAGAATAAAACGGTTTAAGTGCTATTTAGGGAAATGACTTAAGTTTTAGTGTTATTTAGTGCAAATATTTCTACAAAGAAACGTGAAAATATTTTATAGACCAAACAAATCGTGTAATCGTTTTCACATGAAAGTTAGTTAATTAGGAACTTCAAGTGCAATTAAAATTTTGTTCTTTTAGGTTTGAATTCTTACGTCAAATATTTTCAAATATTTTTAATTATTTCTGACTTCTGTATCTTGTCATCAGTGGTGGAGCCACTTCATTAACAATGTGAGCACCTTTCCCAACTAAATTTTTAATTAATTTAATCTATAAACCTAAAATATCATACATTTTAGAAAAAATGTTTTCGGGCAAATGTTACACATTCATCCCATTTTTCTTCTTTTTCTATTAAATCTTTCAAAGTTAATTTAAATAATATTTTATTATTTTATATATTCAATGGAGAAAAAGTTGCAAAGTTATCCCTAATGACTTGCAAAATTTATATTTGGGCTAAGCTTAGTTTTGGCATTACATAACCTTTTTCAAATATCGAGTTATAGCCGTTCGAGCTATAAGATTATTTAATTTTTAATACGGGTTTAATTTTTAAAATTAACCATTCTCACAATTTAACTTTCAATGATGTTTAGTCTAAAAAAAATGTTAATTTTGAAAGAGTTCAAAACATTAAAATTTAAAATTATATTAAAATTAGTTTATTTTTATAACCTAGTCTAATGAACTTGTAAACTCGAGACACCAAAAGGTTTAACTTATTTATTTTATTATACTTCCCCCGTCCCACAAAACCCTTTCCTTTCCTTTTTCATCCGTCCCAAAAAACATTTTTCTTTTCCTATTAAAAAGTTACTTTTACCCCTATTAATTCTTAACCAACCTACCACATCACACTTTATCTCTATTAATTACTCATCCCATCTTATTTTATCCATCACATCAAAGAGCATTTTTGAAAAATCAACACCAAAATACACTCCCCTTAAATCCTTTAAAAATCAAAATGCGAAGTTTTTTAAGGAACGGAGAGAGTATATAATTAGAGACATAATTTTTTTATTAATTAAATTATACCTCTAACTTAAATTTAAAAAATATATGTAAAAAGTGAAATACCCCAACATGACACAAGG